TGGAGGATGTTCACCGTGAACTTAAAAAATATATTTCCCTTTTCTATATGGGGTATTTTCAAATGCTATCCACATGCCCATTTTCCTACACTCATCCTACATCACCATATAACCTATAGATTTAGGAGTATATTTAAGATTATTTAGGTTTAGGAATGCCGGCCACTCTTAAACCTGCCTTTAATAAAATATAGTGTAGTAGACACAGGCCTAGGGTAGGGGTGGATAATGTGTCACTCTTCATTCCTTACCTTTGTGGCATCCCTAATTATTGACAATGTTGGCTAGGTTTGCTGGAGTTGTAGTTCAGCAAGATCTAGGTTTAAAGACAGAAAGGAAAATAGTGTAATTGTGCCACCTGAGTTCTTAGTTTCCTGTCCTGAGCGGAATCCTGAACAATAGCAATCCTATATAGTTGTCATACATTACAATATTTTTGTTTACAAAGACCACTTATTAGTTGAATAATTATGTTAATAAGGTGTTGTAATGGAATGGAGTCTGGATTCCCAGGAAGAAGGGAGTGCATTCCAGACAGCAAAAGACGGTGAAGTTTAGATCATTTGAGTAAGAGAAAGAGCCAGAACAGCTCTTCCATAGGAGTCCATAGTTTGTTTTAGTTTAGCAAGATTTTATCTATGAGTGAGAAGCAATAAACAAAACTGCTTAGAAGAACTTCAGTGTGTCTTTCTTGGTTTTTGGAGCCCAACTGGTGTTTTGAGAAGTCTCTGTCCCTAATTTATGCTTCTGATATATGGCCGTTTAACATACAGTAAAAAAGTTTTGAGTGTATGTTTGAAATGTGGTGTCTATGCAGGAAGACACGTCATGAGGTGTGACCAAATAAGCTGACAAGTCAGAGAGGGAGGAGTATAAGAATTAGTCTTTGGTTGCAAGCTTTATGTTCAGCATTTAAGTCTTGCAGAGTCAATGAAATAGCTCTCCCACCACCTAGAGTTTAGTAGTCTGTGAGTTTCTAACATGTTGTGTGTTCCTGTTTGCCCCTCAGAGCTAGGTCATATACTCATTGATACTTGTTCTTTCATGGTAGCTTTCTTCCTGGACTTATCTCTCACCAAGACCTTCTTTCTCACAGGAGCTACAACAGTTGCGGTTTCACCAGCTGCCTTTATCTTTCTTTCTTATCTTTTTTACCATTCCCTGAACGTATGGCAAGGAAGCAGAACACTTTCTGTTGGTCAGGTTTATGGGTACCCAGCTGATGGATAGTCAAGTAAATCTTGACAATGCATTGTGCCTGCATAGAGCAGGGATCCCCAACCCCTGGTCCGTGGACCAGTACTGGGCCACTGCATGCCAGCAACCAGTCCGCACAAACAAGGAAAGCCTCATCCACGAGATGCAGGCAGCATGTGAAATCACGCCCCCTCTGGTCCGCAGAAAAACCTCTCTCCAGGTAACCGGTCCCTGGTGCACAAAAGGTTGGGGACCTCTGGCATAGAGCTGAATGATTGTGGGCTGACATTTGCACATTTGTGTGGCAGGAGAATACACGTAAAAGAGAAAGATGACAACAGGCGGTGGTTTTGTGGAAGTCCATGCTGTTGATTTTAGCATGCTGAGGTAAGAAAAATGCAGTAATAAAAGAACTGTCATTTGCAAAGGACAATTATCATTGATGAACATTTCTGTACTGTGTGTTGATTGGGAGATGGGAAGAGTGGATGAAATGCCATTTCCCTCCACACATTGATTCAGTCTTGATTGTCACCTGCACAGGGCTAAAAGATATGGGTATGAAAAATATTGGTCTGCTTCCATGTAAATTCAGGGAAAATCTACCTGAGATGTTCCTAAAAGCTGGAAAAATGTGCATGACACTCACAAAGTAATAAATTATATTGGTCACATCTCATTTCCTGAGATGTCCTCTTTTATTTTCTTTGTTTATTCTAATCTTTTCCTAATCAAGTCACCTTAAAAATAATTAATGTGTCTCAATAAATCAACTTCAGATAGAACTGGTGGATTTTAATTTTATTTTGCAAAATCCTGCAAGCAAGTATTAACAAAAGAGCACTTAGGTTGGGGGTGTATGGAATAGCAAAGGGATTTTATCCACATCTCTTCAAAGGATACAATTCAGCACAGCTATTTGATCTCCTCCTGAATTTAGAGGGCTTTCTCCATGGTTAAAGCCAGTTAAAGCAACTGAAAGTAATATTGCCTTTCCAGAGTATTAACAAGGACCAAGTAGTAAAACAAGAACAAAAGATCTAGGAGAGACTTCAAATGTGTTTGTATTTCTGTTTCACAAAACAGAATCAAATTAGCCATTACTGTACGTGAATGTCATTAATGCAAGTAATGTGCCCTTCATAATACAGTAGCTTCAATCAAGTAAGAGCTGGAACATCCTTGAAGCAACTGCTACTTCTGTTTCAAGGAATTCATCCAAATGCTTCTGAAAATGGAAATAATGTAACAATTGGGGGGTTTTCTTGGGATTATGACAGGGAAAAGAGAATTAAGCAAATATCAAACCTGATCAAGAAGACCCTTGCTCTGTATACAGGCAGTCCTTGACTTATGACCAAAATTGAGCCCAACATTTCAATTGCTAAGCGAGGCATTTATTAAGTGAGTTTTTACTCCATTTTCTTGCCACAGTTGTTAAGTGAATCACTGCAGTTGTTAAGTTAGTGACACAGTTGGCTTCCCCATTTAATTTGCTTGTAAGAAGGTCGCAAAAGGTGATCACATGAGCCTGAGACACTGCAATTGTCATAAATATGAGTTAGCTGCCATGTGTCCAAATTTTGATCATGTGACCAGGGAGATGCTGCAAAGATAAGTGTGAAAAATGGTCACAAGTCTCTTTTTTCAGTTCCGTTGTAACTTCGAATGGTCACTAAATGAACTGTTGTAAGTCGAGGACTACCTGTACTACATCCAGTTCTAGTATTCTGGATAGCTGTAACAGGAAGACTGACTTAATTCCAGTTTTGTCACCTGTGAGTATCATAAGGGCTATTGTTATTATCCACAACTGCAAACATGAATTCTGCATTCACAGATTACTCTAGGAGTGCCTACAGCACTTACATAATATCAGTAGTGGAGCTAATCGCCTTCTGTTATCTGTTGGAATTAACTCTTCAAAATGGCTACATTAAAGGTGCACAGGGACTGTTTCATGCCACTGTGTTATGGGCAGGTACGATCTACAAAGATCCATCAAACATACGGTACAAATATGGTAGAAAAATGTATGTAAAAAAAATAGCTCCTCTTTTTAGCTAAAGCTAAAGTCAGCATGTCCCCAGCTAAACCCCAGGCCCTTCCTTTTTATGCCTCCCTCACGACTCTAGATACCTGGCTTATTTCCTTCTCTACATCAGTCTGTGCTGAGTAATCCTTTTATTTGTATAGCTACCTTCAGCACTAAAAGAACTAATATTCTTTTGCTAAAGATAGAAAGGGAGATAAATCAGAAGAGACTGATTGTACAGGACATATATACAGTGCCTTCTAAATCTTAATCATTGTTTATTGGTTGGCAAACAAATTTCACTGTTACAACAAATATTAGTAATGAGGTCATTCAACTGGGTGACCATACAAAATGCATCATAAATTAAAAAAAAGAGTAAAATCTGTGCTGCTAATTTACCTCCTGGGAAGGTCTACATTATTTTAAATCTTGTCAAATAAATACATTTCCTGTTAGGAAAAATAATGGAAGGGTTTGTATATATCTTTTTTACCACTTCAAAATAGGCTTTTAAAAATATCTTTGCTATGAAGCAGTTTTTCAAACCATCGCAGTGAAAGTTCCTAGCCTGAGGTTAGATTTTGACTCCTGTAAAGGCATTATGCTCATCTGCATAAGTCCCATTATGAAATCCCAGCTACTAGAAGGGACATAATGCCTTGGTGAAGGGACTGAGGACCACAAAGGCTGCTGCATCTCATCAATTGTGCCCTGGAAACACGTGGATCAAGTTTCTAATCTGGAAAAAAGAAGCCGTTGGCATATTCGTAGATAGAAGAAACAGTATATTGTGTGGGTGTTTATCTGTGTCTATATGCACATTTATATATATTGCATACCGACACACAAACACACGCACAAACAGAGTGTGATATCACATAACCCAAAATTAAAGAATCATTACTTTGTTTACTCAGTGTTTTTTAAATGAGAGAGAGGAAAAAAGGCCAAATAAAGAATACATGAAAAGAATTATTTCTACTGGTAGACAAACTTGCAAGACCAGCACAACAGAAAAAGTTTTTTTTCCACCACATTAACAGGGACGCAAGTTTTGGTGGAACAAAGAGTAGACTATATGTGCAATGCTAGTATCTGTACATTACATAGGAACTGTTCCATTTTTTCTGCCATTAGAATTATCATCAGTTAATACAGAAAAACATAAAAATATACCATGTAGCATACAATTACCAACTTTCTTTCTATTTCATTAGATTTTGTTTGCTCCACAGTTCAGTGAGCTTTGGCTAAATTAAGTGGTGAGAGAGAGAAAGACACACACACACACACAAAAAAAAACCTCAAACCGAAAACCAAAATCCCAAACTATTATGTGATACAGATTCAGAATAAACAGTTTTGCTATTTTTGCTTCTGTTTTGTGCAGCACTCCAATCTAGACGCATCATTGCTAGTAGTTTCAAATGCATGTTTGGCCTTTTGTAAGTCAGGTCCTTGGTACTAAGAAGACAGTACCCAAAGATGCTTAAACAAATACAGTATAATGTGAGAAGGCCACACAGTGGACCACTTCCTTTTGTATCTCATTCTTTAGCATATGGTCTCTCTGATGTGACGCCAGTGTATGTGTGAGGGGGAACAACAGGGAGTTAGCCTTTTTTCTGCATGGGCCTATCAATTCCATTAAAAAGTTATGAGAATTGTTGGTTGTTTAGAACAATATGGAGTAGGAGAACACACAATATTACCACTGCTTTGATTTAAATCCAGACAATAATCCAGATGTTGTATAGGGAGCATTTGTTTTATTAAAACGTTTACTTAGTGTTCTATAGACTAGTGACCAAGTGAGCTGGTCCTTTCAAGGTTTCTTCTGTCAGGGTCCCATCCTTGTTTGGTGGAACTATAAATCCATCACTACTGCCCCTCCCCAACTGATAGTAAGTATGTAGCTGTTGGATATGGTTCCTGGAGCCCAGGTTTGGCATACTCTTGTAGTACACGTCATCGCCATCGCCACCTTTAGTTGATGGGGGATCGGTCTGAGTGCTGGTGGTGACACTTTCTGTGCCTGGCATGCTGGTCAGAGCAGGCATACTAGTGTAAAGAGAATCCCTATTCGGTGACTGGAGGTCTTCTGTGTGCTCATTGGTTAGCAAAGGAAAAAAACTTTCACTGTTGTCTTGTGGAATCCGTCTTTTGCTATAATGGTGAGGCTGGTGGTTCTCTGCAGAATATGCCCTTGGGGGTAACAGTGGGGCATCTGATTCCTCATGAATGAGTTCTAAGCCCAGGTTATCTTCCTGGTTAAACAAGGTGACGTCATCGAGAACAATGGCATCATTGTCACTCCCACTGCCAAGATTATTGACAAATTTATTCATCAGATTCCTACTTTGTTCATTAGAACATTCATGTTTGTTCAGGTAGGAAGGTATATAATTGGAAGTGAGTTCTTTCAGAATCTTTTTCTCTAAGGCAGTCTCACTGTGGTTATAGCTATGGTCAATTATTTGCACACAGTTGCTCAAGTACTCACTGCTAGCAATGCTGTAGCTATTGCCGTGGTTACCATTCAGTGGTAGAGTATCCATGACACTTGTATCCCTGGCATTGTTCAGAAGCCCCTCTGAAAAATATCACACAAGAAAATTTGATTTGTACCAAAAAATATTCGTATATACTTTTGATCTGCATGGCTACTGTCCTAAGAAACAATAATATACTGTTTGTTGCAATATACAGTAATTGTGTAAAAAATAATAAAGAGAAAAGAAATGATACTGGGTTTCAAGACATGGAAAATGTGGATTTAAATCTTATCCATTAATTATTGTTTCAATTCATATATTGTTTTTCTTCCATAGTACACTGAAGATGGCTAAAAAGTCAACATATAAAGTACAAACAGTTGAAATCCAATTTAAAAACCCTAAATTATTACTATCTGAACTCAAAAGGCTTGGTTGAAGAGAAAGAGCTTGATTCTTTTCCTGTAGACTAAAAGAGAGGGAGTTAAAGGCAATTAAAAGAAACCGGGATTGACATAAGTAAAGGTATTTTGTTTTGTGCTCAACAAATGGGGCATTAAAAACAGTGGCCTTGCTTGCAAATCTCAGTGCCTGCTCACTTTCATACTGAGAAAGACACTCCTTCAGACAGTCTTGCTCTAAAGTTCCTGGGCTCTGGAGCTATTTTTTCAGGCTGGACTCTAATCCCAAAACTTAATTTCTTGCTGATTAGCAGCAACTGCATGGTATACAGATTTAATTGCAATTTATTCAGCTTATATATTTAATATTGAAGGCAAAACCTTAGATATGGGAATTATAGTCCTGCATCTGGAAGACCATAAGTTTCCCCATCTTATTCTAAATGACCTAAGCATTGACAAATCAGATGTATCTAATTATGATTGTTAAGCACATCAAATATAATCAAAGAAGGAGTAAGGCAGTGCTAGGCAGACTTCTGCTCATTCTCCCCCCCCCCTTAGAATTTTGAGAAACAGCTTGTTGTAAATGATATAACAAACAATGAGTATAGAAATACGGTCTGAATACCAGTAGGAAGACGGCTCAGAAATCTTTGATACTAAAATCCTGTCCTAATTAGCATAAATGTTTTCATACCAGCTATATTATTAGAATAGGGATGGGGAGAGATTAATAATTTTGTTACTGCTACTGTTAAATTGTTAAATGTTTGACACTTCTGCAATCTAACTTCGGCAACACTTCAGAGATCTATCAGAAGATCCAGATTTACTTTTTTCCCATTCACAAATTAAGGCATACAAAGTTCCTAAAAATTATGAACTATCACATGTTTATTGCATTCCCTTAAATGCGAAACAGCTAAAATGCCAAAAAAAACCAAAAAACCCGCAACCCCTGTCACTCGATTCTCTACTGTTTTTGTTTTAGAACAGAGCAGGGATGTGCCAATGGATGACAAAATGGATGAGATTTGGGAAGTAACACTGGGAGGATTGATTTTAATTCTTTCTCTCATGTTAGTTTTCTGAATAAAATCATATTGCCCCTGCTAATTAATTTATATTTTGGAATTAATATTTCTTATGTCTTTCTTTTAAACACAAATATGTACTATAATTATAAACACAGAACATTTTCCCACTATCCCTCTCACCATACTCCATTTGCTATCACTACAGTCTTGACATATTATTGTAATACAATTAAACCTACCTATGGAGCTTTATCACCCAGATAATATAGTTAAACATTTTAAATAATAAAATAAGCATCTGTGATCATATCAAGAGTCTGAAATACTTGGTTTGTGTAATCATGATGATAATTCAAATCAACCCCAGCTAATCTGTTCCTTTAATTTACATCTGTACTCCTAATCAACTCAAATTGATTCATCTTCAATTAATTGCCCACTTCAGCCATGCTTCTTAAATAACAGCCTTTCAATCAATTATTTCATTTGCATTTACCAATCAAGAATAAAAAAGAAATGGAATGGACCAGGTTTTGGGTGGCCAATTCTATCTGATAAGATAGCTAAGGCAGTATTAATTTATGTAAAAGCATTGGGGAAGATACTCAGGGTCCAATAGAATCCTTCCCAACAGCAGTAGTCTAAAAGAGCTTACCATCTTTAGAGCTGTTAGAGATGTGAAGAAAGTCCTCTACTTTTCCTGCTGCTGCTGGTCCTTATTCTCCCTCCCAGGCAAATTTCCCAGTAGCTAGTCCTAGGCAAGGATCTCCAGATCACTGGGAAGGGTCTCCATATGAATTTGGTGAGAGGTGCCCATGAGGATACACTTCCCAAGACAATAATTATAATGAGATCATCAGGGCAGGGAGCAGGCCACTTTACACTTTAGCAGTCAAGGTAATAACTATCTGGGCCGGCTATTCTCATCAGCTCATTGGCTGCTTTATGTCATTGAGCTTTAAGGTTAGATCTGCCTTCCAAAATATGCTGGGTGTAAAAAAGGGCTCTTGGATGCATGCAGTTCCCTATCGACCCTGCTTAGGAAAGAAAGGCTTCCAGGTTCTTCTCAGTAAATTTGTAGAGTATTAAATGGTCCTAACCATAAAGAAGGCTGAGTGCCGAGGAATTGATGTTTTTGAATTGTGGTATTGGTATTGGAGAAGACTCCCTTGGACTGCAAGGAGATCATATCAGATCAAAAATCAGGATGAAACCCATGAATGGAATATACATCTAGAGGGATTTAAATTGTTTAAAAGAAACAGACCTATTAAAAGAGGAAGTGAAGTTGCACTATATATAAGAAATAACTATATCTCTACAGAAATAGAGCAGAACAATGGAGAAAATCATCTTGAATGCATTTGGGTCAATATAAAAGGAAAAAAGAATGACATTGCCATAGGTGTATACTATAGGCCACCCAACCAAACAGAGGAAATAGATGAACTTTTTGCTGTCAGCTAACTAAGGTATGCAAGAAGCATACCACAATAATAATGGGGGACTCACTACCCTAACATCAACTGGGAGATAAACTCTGCACCAAGTGGAAGATCAAACAGATTCTTGACAAACCTAGCAGACAACATTGTCTTTCAAAAGTCAGAGAAGGGAACTAGAGGGTCAGGGATACACTGAGAAACCAGTTAATATACCTAGCAGGATATTTCTAGGACTAATTCCAAGCAATCATGCAAGATGCAATCCCTTGGAGGTAGGTCTCAGCAGACCCAACAGAATAAGCATGCATGACATTTCCTCAAAACTCCTCTTGCAGGACTTTTGAATGATTTAGTTTCCAACTTAATGCTCCCTTTTCTAGAGGCCACAGTGTGAGCTTTCAGGTGCAGTTGGGGCCATTCTGAGTCTTGCTCTTTTTGTGGCTGAGAAGCAGTGAGGTAAGGTCCAGCAGTTCAGTCAAGTTGCCAGACATTCTTCTGCAACCATATGCTTTCTGTGGCCAGAAAAATCTGGTATGGGATGGGATGAGCAATGGAATGCTAATATCTTAACAATATGCAAGTGAGCAAAATTTAGGGCAATGAGAATCCTCTTGTGATGATATGATTCTGGGACACTCAAAAGCAGAGGAACGGCTTGCCTCCTGAAGATATGGCTACTCAATCACTGAGGGTTTTTGAGAAAAGACTGCATAGCCATTTCTCCAGAATGGTATGAGGATTCCTGCACTGGGCAGGGAATTGGACTAGAAGACATCCACGCTCCCTTCTAACCCTCTGATTCTATGTTTCCAAGATCACAAAAAATTCCTTAAGTTGCATGAGTTTAGGTGCCAAAGGTTGTCCACCAAATGCATCTGGAAACCTTCAGTCCAGACAGAGAGTTCCAGGAGGTAAACCGCTGAAGATAGTCCCTGCCATCTCCTCTAGTACCCCTGACTGCAATCCACTACACTAGAAAGCTAGGCATAGAGAAAAAGAATTACTGTGGAATCATGGAGAAGACCCTGCACCCAATAAAATGACTCTGGAAACAGGAATGTATAGAATTCATGGAATCAGTTTAAAGGGCTTGTGACAGCATTAACTATCTTTAAAACAAAATGAAAAGTCCAATACAAGCTAATTTTAGTCCAATACAATTTAGCTTGTATTGGCAAGGGCTATAAAAATGGCCAGCAATTCAGTTGAGACTCAGTGGGATTGGACATTACATTATTAACTTAATTAGTCTGAAAATATACACATATCAGGAAAGAGGTTTGCTGTTGAAAATTGAGCATGCACAGGTATAGCCATATCTTTAAAAATGCTTCTATTAGGAAAAATTAAGGAAAAAATTAGTTCTGAGAAAATGTATATGACAAAGCAGAATAACCTGAACTTTAAAAGGGGCTTCTAAGTAATTCACATTCTTCCTTACACATGTACATAAATATGTACATAAAGATTGTCTACATTAAGCACAATTGCAAGAATAAATATTGGAAATTGTTTTCAGTTTGTTTTTCTTGAAAAAAAACCTGTTTGATCAAAATGCTACCTTTGGACATTAAACCAGATAAGATTTCAGCCTACTTTCTGCTCAGATAACTGCTTTAGATTCCTGGATAGCTATTTGATCAGTAAGGCATGGTATAGTAGGCTGTCCCCATGGAGTACACAGCAAACTGGGGTTATAGAATCATTTAGGGAGGACAGGCAAAAGGGATGGGGAGGAGATCTTATTCACTACTTTATTCCTATTTAGAAGTTTTGACCTAACAATACACATTTGAATAAACTGCTGATACATCTCTTTTCATTTTGTTTTTAAAGCAATAAGCACTAGAATCCAGTGATGCTTGCTTACTTCTTTTCATTCCTACCTAGTAGCATATCTAGTAGTGGATGGTATTTCTAAGCCTGCATAACATTTCAATCAGTGGAATACATTTCTGAGTACATTCATCTCAGATTAAGCTGGAAATTCGAACTTCCAAAAGGTCATGCACCAAAATCTCCTGCATAGCAAACTTAGAAACCATAAACCCAATTATGCTTTAATTAGCAATATTGTTTCAATCCTTCCCTTTTTTCCTGAGAGCTCAAAAGTCTCCCCCCTTTTATTCCCATAAAAATTCTATGAGCTAAATTGGACTGAGAGAGTATTGGGCTCTCCACAATTGAATGCTGAGTGCTATACTGGCTCTGT